AAAGTTCGTCAAAAATTGTTTTCCTCACTGGAGCTCAACCTAGAAAAAGATTATTAGCCAGCCATTTCTAAGGGTTTTCAGGGAATTTCTTCTTTATTATTCCCTCAAGCTAAATGAACTAGTTTGGTGGAACGTCTTTTAAGTGTGTGGCCTTAATTTATAGAAATTGTCTTCGGTCAGCAAATCACCCAAAAACACCAAATTAAACTTTCTTGGGCAGCTAGATCTACGAAGTTTTCGCTTTCGATTTCTTCATCAAAATTACTCATCTGAATCCTCTTAAACTAAAGGAATGCTCAATTTGAAGAAAAATAGACGGTAGATATGAATTTGATACTTACCCCAATTTAAACTGGAAATTGACTTTCTTCGATTACACACGTTCTTGAGGTTAATTTTTTTCGTGGTCTTCACAAAGAATGTTTCCTGAAGGTGGAAAAATCGAATTGGATTGGCCTTGCTGGATGAATTTGTGTGTATGCTCGAATTAGATTTTCAATCTTTCTTTGAATTTCTTCAATGGTCATCCATATTGGGGAATGGGTTATAGGCTCATTCCGCACTCGATTCCATTGTTGAACTTGAGAGCTCAACTTAACTCAATTCTTGTTCCAAATGAAAGGTCATACTTCAGACTATATAGATGGAGCTTAAACTGACACTGAAACCTCTAGAATCGTCATGATTTGGAGATTGAGTTTTCTAGATTTCTCATTGAAAATATCTCTTCTATCATCGAGCTATCGACTCCAATTTGAATTCTTTTTTGTTAATGTGGTGAAATCTGTCTCCTCTAGAACAAACTCAAATTTAGTTTGGATTTATAAGTTAAAAAAGCAAATTCAAGGATTTTCTTATCACTCTAACTGGTGCATATCTAATTTTGTGATATATGGCATTTGCGTAATTATCTCATAGTTTAGGAGTATTTTTGTAATTTTCCATTTTTTAAAAATATTTTATTATTCTTTGTCCAAAAATTCTAAGCTTATTCTAACAAAATTTCATCCTTTACGGGTCCTTTCCCTTCTTGAGCACCTTGAATTTCTCCTCCTTAAAGAATAGAAAATTCATAAAGTTCCTTAAAAAAAAATAGAATAACTACCTTTTCATCCTTTATGCTTACCTTTTCCTTTTCAATCCTTCTCTAAATACCTTGTCCTTTCTTGAAATCCTCCGATCCTTACCTTAGATCCTTTAGACTTTACTGAGCTACTTAAACTTCCTTGCATTACTTTTACCCTTATTTTGATTGTTACGGGAGCTACCTAAAATTATACACCCGAACCAACTATGTGAAAGTTTACTAGTCTCCAAACAAGCAAGACTATCATTACTAGCTCAAACTAGTTTCTGTGCTGAGCAACCACTGCAACTGGTTCATGCAAATTTATTTAGCCCAACCACTTCATCGTCAATTTTTGCCAATAAGTATATTCTCTTGTTCATGATTATAGTTGTTGGATGTGAGTGTACGTGCTCAGAGAAAAAAGAGAGGCATTACGTTCGTTCAAAAAGTTCAAAAGACCCGTTGAAAATAGGTTTATCACAAGCTAAAAACCTTGCACATCGACCAAGGTGAGGAATTCTTAAACTATAACTTCTCAAAATTTTGCGAAGAGGAAGGCACCAAGCACCAACTCGCTTTACTATACAATCCACAATAAAATGGTGTGGTCGAGCGAAGAAGTCGCGCCATATTGAACACTACAAGAAGCTTACTCAAGAGCCTGCAAGTCTTGATAATTTTCTGGGGCGAGGCAATAGGACGCAGTTCATCTTCTAAACTATTTACCGATGAAGGCGTTGGACACTTGCATCCCCTACAAAACATAGATCGGTAAGACACCTCACTTCAAGAATCTAAAAATCTTTGGTTGTGAAGCACATGTTAAATCTGCAAAGCCATATATCAAAATGCTTGACGACGGAAGCTAAAAGATGGTGTATTTTGGCATCATTTGAATCGTGAGTTATAGCTATTTAGTTTTTTGGTTTTTTACTCTCGATTTTTATCCCAATTCGAGAGAAATTCTCCACCATTTCCCTTCAAACTTTTTTCTAAGCCATCTAAACAAGATTACCCACAAGTTCTACAAAGGAACCGGGCGCTGAATGAGCCTAGAACCCATTCCCCAGTACGAATGACCATTTAAGTAGTTCAAAGAAAGATTGAAAATCTAATCCGACCATACACACAAATTCATCGAGCAAGGCCAATCCCATTCGATTTTTTCACCTTCAAGAAACATTCTTGTTGCAGACGACGAAGAGAACTAACCTCAAGAACGTGTGTAATCGAAGAAAGTCAATTTTCGGTTCAAATTGGGGGTAAGTATCAAATTCCTATCTACGGTCTATTTTTCTTCAAATTGAAAATTCCTTTAGCTTATGAGGATTGAGATGAGTAATTTTGATAAGAAATCGAAAATGTCGTAGATTAAGCTGCCAAAGAAAGTTTAATTTGGTGTTTTCGGGTGATTTGCTGACCAAAGAAAATTTCTCCAAATTCAGGTCACACACTTGAAAACTTTCCCCCAAACCAATTCAGTTAGCTAGAGGTAATATAAAGAAGCGATTCCCGGAAAACCCTTAGAAATGGCTAGCCAATAAGCTTTTTCTAGGTTGAGCTCCGGTGAGGAAAACAATTCTTGATGAACGTTGGAGGAGAATAACTTAACCTACAATCCAAGGTAAGAAATCAATCCCTAACTCTTCCTTGTGACTCAGTTTTTAAGTTTCTTGAAGAAATCGAGGGGGAGAAGTGTTTTGAACGGAGCTGAAGGGGTAAGGTTTCAAAGAGTGTGACTCTTACGTAACAACAAGCAAAGTGGCAAATCCTCGAGTGATACCAATCCGACCATGCAACAACCAAAATAGACAATCCATGAAGTGATCGAGGAGGACGTTGCATCATCCAACGCACCAAAGAAAGCCAAGCTAAGGAATAGGCAACACAAATGCAATGATTTTGACATAATTATCAAGAATATGCTTTTTCAAGCCTAAGGTAGGCCGTGAGCATTAATCTCTAAAGCTTGAGTGAGAGAAAATTTGGGTATGTAGTTTTGGAATTAAATCCATCTATATGAAATATGAAAGCTCACAAAATTTTGTGTCAAACGAAGACCATACCATACTTTGTGACAGTGTATGATTGTTTAACTAAAGAATGTTCACACTTGCCATATTTGAAATGGTTCAAAATGTACCTTAGAGGGAGGAATGGTGTAAAGAATGTTCACACTTGCCATAAAGAACGTTCACACTTGCCATACGAAGAAGGTGAACGTTGCTAGATGTGTGCGTCGTGTGACTTGCCTCGTGGACTTATATATTTAATTTAAAACAATAAATTAAACCTAACCTATTTTTTAAATAAATTCAACCTAACTATAAATGAGTATGAACTAGGTCGACCATTGTGGATTGCAGAGCAAAACTCTCCATACCAAAAAACTCTCTATACCAAAAACTAGATAGGGCAAGACTTAATAGGAAGGGATTATGTGGGTGTAATATCACCCGTCTTCTTCTCATTCTCATCCATGGTGAAGACAGTATAACTCTTCCGGCAAAAGTTATAGCGCCTGTTCAATTTTATGCATGTGTCTAAACCATGTGGTGATCCAGTCTCCCCCAACATTTGATCAGAGTAAATGAACCGGATCCAGTCTCCCCCAGCATTTGATCAGAGTAAATGAACTGCGGTTCAATTACCTTGTCTGGAGAACGGCGTAATAGAGTCACCGTCTTTTGAACGTGTATTCTCTACATGGGATGATTGATCTTTTCATAAGTTCACTATTCTACTCATGCGCCACTACCCGAGACAGTCCACAAGAAGTATTTGATATTAGAGAAAGAGAAAGAGAGATAGTAATGTAGTACTTGTGTGTATTTTGTACTCATAAAGTGTATGATTTATTTGTAAGGAGTATGTTTGTTGTATGAATTTAGGGGTACTTTGTATAGGACCATACATTTCAGGTTCTTATTAGTCGAAAGGTGTTTTACATTTATGATTATTATAAAGGTGGGGGTAAATCTGGGGGTACTTTTTATAAAATTGTCGAAGAAAAATATTGAAATCTTACAAAGTTACAACCCTAGCTTATTTTTGTGGAGTTAAAATTTTCATTTTTCTATTTTGAAAAAAAAAAAATTTTACACTATGGAATCCACTTTCCCTATATGTATACAAGAGAGGAATGACTTCACTTTTCAATTCGACATCGGGAAGAGTTTGCAATTCGACACAAAATTAAATTATAGTCTTACCCTATAACTTTTCATAAAACTAACTTTTCATAAAATTCTGTGTTTGACAAAAGACACAAAATCTTGTGTTTGATTGATGTCTTTGATTTGATTATTTAACTTTGAATCACAAAATCCTATAATTATAAGATTATAATAATTTAATTTATTATATGGGTGATCATTTTGATTAGAATATTACAGAGATAGATGATAATATAGAGCCAAAATGGTTAAACATAAAGTACAATTGCTTAAAAATCAAAAATTATTTTAATTTTATGTAAGAGACGTGAATTAATTATATTATAGAACTTGTTTATAATATAATATGGCATGCCGCTACTCGAATTCAAATCAAAATGCTCTAGTACCTTCCTAAGAGGAGCGTGTCTACCAATTTCACTATAGCGACTTTTTCGAAATCATAATAACCTATTATTATTTACTTGTCGAGATTGAAAACAAATTTAGTTATGTATTCGAGATATTTCGGTTATGGTATCACTTGTAGATTGTGAAGTCTTACCATATTAAAAACATGTTTCATTAAATTTTAAAAATATCTTTAATTAAAATAGATAATTAAAGAAAAAAAGGGTAGGAAAATGATTCCATTTAGAAAAACAATATAGAAATAATGAATTTGCCTACAAAATAGTTGTTTGGCTTAGGTTTTCCTTTGTTAATAGCCAAAGAAACATCCATGCTTAACAATTACTCTCAAGCTTGTGTGCTACTTGGTGCAATGGTCGGGGTTTGAGCAATGTTGCTTCCAATTGGTGCAATTGCCGGGGCCGGGGATGCAGCCTCCGGAGTTAGAGCAATGCTGCTCCCATCCGATGCAGCCTCCGGGGTTAGAGCAATGCTGCTCCCATCCCATGCAGCCTCCGGGGTTAGAGCAATGCTGCTCCCATCCGATGCAGCCTCCGGGGTTAGAGCAATGCTGCTCCCATCCGATGCAGCCTCCGGGGTTAGAGCAATGCTGCTCCCATCCGATGCAGCCTCCGGGGTTAGAGCAATGCTGCTCCCATCCGATGCAGCCTCCGGGGTTAGAGCAATGCTGCTCCCATCCGATGCAGCCTCCGGGGTTAGAGCAATGCTGCTCCCATCCGATGCAGCCTCCGGGGTTAGAGCAATGCTGCTCCCATCCGATGCAGCCTCCGGGGTTAGAGCAATGCTGCTCCCATCCGATGCAGCCTCCGGGGTTTGAGCAATGCTACTTCCAATTGGTGCAATAGCCGGGGTTTGAGCAATGCTGCTAACATCCGACGACGCTGCAGCCTCCAGCGGGGTTTGAGCAATGCTACTAACATCCGACGACGCTGCAGCCTCCGGCGGGGTTAGGGTTAGAGTAGCAATGTTGCTTCCAATTGGTGCAATAGCCGGGGTTTGAGCAATGCTGCTAACATCCGACGATGCTGCAGCCTCCGACGGGGTTTGAGCAATGCTGCTAACATCCGACGACGCTACAGCCTCCGGCGGGGTTTGAGCAATGCTGCTAACATCCGACGACGCTGCAGCCTCCGGCGGGGTTTGAGCAATGCTGCTAACATCCGACGACGCTGCAGCCTCCGGCGGGGTTTGAGCAATGCTGCTAACATCCGACGACGCTGCAGCCTCCGGCGGGGTTTGAGCAATGCTGCTAACATCCAACGACGCTGCAGCCTCCGGCGGGGTTTGAGCAATGCTGCTAACATCCGTCGACGCTACAGCCTCCGGCGGGGTTTGAGCAATGCTGCTAACATCCGTCGACGCTACAGCCTCCGGCGGGGTTTGAGCAATGCTGCTAACATCCGTCGACGCTGCAGCCTCCGGCGGGGCAGCCTCTGGCGGAGTTTGAGCAGTGCTTCTTCCATCCGACGACGCTGCAGCCTCCGATGGGGTTTGAGCAATGCTTCTTCCATCCGATGCTGCCTCCTCCGGGGTTTGAGCAATGCTTCCATCCGATGCTGCCTTCTCCGGGGTTAGAGCAATGCTTCCATCTAATGCAGCCTCCGGGGTTAGAGCAATGCTTCCATCTAATGCAGCCTCCGGGGTTAGAGCAATGCTTCCATCTAATAGAGCCTCCGGAGTTAGAGCAATGCTTCCATCTAATGCAGCCTCCGGGGTTAGAGCAATGCTTCCATAGAGCCTCCGGAGTTAGAGCAATGCTTCCATCTAATGCAGCCTCCGGGGTTAGAGCAATGCTTCCATCTAGCCTCCGGAGTTAGAGCAATGCTTCCATCTAATGCAGCCTCCGGGGTTAGAGCAATGCTTCCATCTTGTGCTTGTGTGTCATGTGATGCAAAAGCACGAAATGAAAATTGATGATCGAGATTTACGACACCGGTGACATCACTAAAAGTGGCACCCACTTTTGCACAATACTGCCAAGAAATCACTAGGAAAAGGGTATGAAAGAGCTTGAAACCTTTGTCNAGCCTCCGGAGTTAGAGCAATGCTTCCATCTAATGCAGCCTCCGGGGTTAGAGCAATGCTTCCATCTAATAGAGCCTCCGGAGTTAGAGCAATGCTTCCATCTAATGCAGCCTCCGGGGTTAGAGCAATGCTTCCATCTAATAGAGCCTCCGGAGTTAGAGCAATGCTTCCATCTAATGCAGCCTCCGGGGTTAGAGCAATGCTTCCATCTTGTGCTTGTGTGTCATGTGATGCAAAAGCACGAAATGAAAATTGATGATCGAGATTTACGACACCGGTGACATCACTAAAAGTGGCACCCACTTTTGCACAATACTGCCAAGAAATCACTAGGAAAAGGGTATGAAAGAGCTTGAAACCTTTGTCGACTGCCATTGTGGAGTGTCTAAAAGTTGTAAGGTTACAAGCTCGTTTCACAAATGATGAAGAGTAGCAATTGCTAAGATGTTGGTGCTTGGATTTTTCTTACAATGTGAAGCCCTATATATAGTTTGATGGGAAAACTATATCTGGAAAAGACCACCAAATTTAGAAAGGGTGTTAAATTTTGAGGGTTTGGGAGTATTCCAAGTATAGAATGTTTGACTATTCAATTTCTAATTTCTCCCTCCCTTCACTTGAGGATCATTAAGAATAATTATATTTTTAAATAAAAACATACCATTGCTAGCTTATGGTAATTTTGGTGTGAAATAAGTTGATATTTTATGTTATTTCATGAACTCAATATTATTATTTTATAACACCGTAGATATTTTCTTCACCATGAATTGTACTCGATTAGATTACTTGTCTCATTCATACAGCCCATTTATGGCATGAGGAATAAGGATGCCAAGAGTATTTGTAGTTTTGAAACCACATTTGTTATAGTAAGGTTATTGTAATTCTTTGTAGTTTTGAGATCATGTTTGATTGTGAAAAACAAGGTTGTCGCCGCTCTTTGTAGCCTACTTATTGGTTCTTAATCGTGTCCATGGTGGGTGCTAAGATAGTATCTCTATAATTTGGTCAAGAGCTTATCATAGTTTCTTCTCATGATGATCATGGGTCATGAGTCATGATACTTGGTTAATTCTTGTACTAACCCTGTCCGGTTGAAAAACTACTCCCAGTAGAAGACCTAAAAAGGTCAAATGGTTGGAGAATATAATGAACCTAAACTTGTTAGAGAGGGAGAGAGGACATGCTCCAAATAAAACATGGTTAGAATATCTTAGCAAGAAACATAGGTAGGGTAAACTTGCAAGAAACATGGACACGGTGTCCTACAAGAAACATGTGTAGGGCATCTGATTTAGGCGAGGAAAACATGTGATCGTAATGCAAATCATGGTAGAAAGAATAGGGTGACTTAGGTTATCGTTAAAGTAGAACATAGTAGTCTTAGTGGCCTAGCATTTGAGTTTTACTTTCTTTGGGACCAACATATCTTACAAGGTTCTTGACCTTAGAGCGACATTTTATGTTCGTAAGTTCTTTTGTTCTAACTCTAAAGTTTCTTCCAAAAACTTAAGGCACAAGCCACAATGTGATATTTTTAAGCTCCATTTCAAGCACATAGATCATAACTATAGACATTTTGTAATTATAGGCATGAATCTTTAATAGTATACTAAATAAGCAGCTTACAACATATCATGTCACTCGAAGTTCTTAAAAATCATCAATGTTTAGAAAAGATTCGTGAGGGTTATTTTCATAATTTTCTATCATAGTATTTTCTTATACCCAAACATGTTTTACTAAATTTCAAGTCATATATAATTGTCTACAATTTTATAAATGAGTCTCATATAAAATTTCATATCATTTCAAGTTCGTTAAATACTTAGAAACATCACGAGGTCCTACGTGTATTTTTGTCTCTTTCCACTCCAATCGTGCTTTAGGATCTAAACTTGATCCAATTACGATGAAATCTTACCTAGTCTTTCATATCATTATAATTATCCATAATTTAGATGCTTAAGTCATTTGGAGTCCATTTTAGGCATAAAATATCTTAAACACATAAAAGAAGTATTTTTATCATTATTCACCCGCCTTTGTTTGGGCCTAAACATTCTCAGGTTACTTTGAAATATTTTACAATAATTCTTAACCATAAAAATAGGTTTCATATAAGATCTCAAGTAACTTAACTTATATACATAGTAGGTACATTTTTGTAATTTTATCCCTTCTAATTTGTTTAGGTACTTAACATTCTACTACTCATCACTTGAATGTATATAGAAAAAGGGGTAAATAATCACAAGTATAAGTGCAAGTATATACTATCTGATATGAACCAAGATACCAATCATGCAATATAAACTGGAAGGAAAATGTGAAGAAATATTGTTCAAATTATAACAAAATGTTGCAATTCATGTCACCTTAAAGAAAAATAAAATTTCATTTATTCTTAGGTAGTTACAAAATTGGGGTGGATGATAATTTAGACTTATGGTGTTTCTTTAATCTCTTTAACGTTACATGTAAGAAAAATCTAAAGAACCGTTAGTTAAGACCCCGAAACAATCAAATTGTTGAAGATGGTTAAAATAACCCGCTAAATGAACTCCGTTGCTTATGAAATTTTAATACTCTGCATATTATAACATGTTGAGATTAGTTTTAAAATTTGGTGGTCATTAGATAAGGTTAAGTAGGAAAACCAAGTAACGACAAAAATGACCATAGTGCCCCTGAGGAAAACTACCTACGGTTCAATCCCTAAATGACCTCCAAATATTACGAGAGGTTGCATGAATCATTATCTCATGAGTTTGTATAAGGTAGTAATGTTTGGGGGCCATTGGAAAACATTAGGCAGTGAAACCAAGATATGGGAAAAAACATTCATCGCGATACATACGGCTTTACCTCCTAGGATGACTAACGAGGTATCCATGAAATAAGGGATTCCCCACATGTATTCTTGGTCGTTGACAAGATTCTACGTGCACAAGATCACATTGAGCGATTCCTAAGGAAAACTCTTAAGTTCCATGACCCCAGATGTTAGAAATGATGTTCGATTTTAAGAGTGATATTTGCACATTAGATGAGCATGTAGCGGCTCTGAGTATGTTGAATTTAGGGTCATTACACGGACGTGATTCTATAATAAGTAAAATATTTTTTGTATTTAATTTCTAACAAAAAAAATCTAAATAATTATAACAAAATCAAGATAAAAGAGAAAGGAGACTAAGATATAACTTATAGTAATAAGAACATTGAGGGACATATCTCTCCCGACATCTCTTTTAGAACCTCCGACATCTGTCCATCTAAAATATAAATTACTTTTTAATGGAATACTTTTTAAATGTTCAAATAATTAATAATTAATTTCTTAATCTAATTAGATCATTATGACTCTATTTCAAAAAAAAAAAAAAAAAATCGAATATAAAATTATTAGATGGGATATTTTTTTTCAGAGTTAAAAGTTTATTACAAATATTTAACAAGTTTCCATATATACTATATACCATATAACTAATTAAGAATATTCATTCTCAATATTATTTTGATTTATGATAATGACAATAAAAAATAAGGAATAGAAAACATTGAAATCAAGATGGCTCCGTATGTATTGTCTGCTAATCCATTGCCATATTGTTAAACTAAAAGAATTTGACATTTCTCTTATACATAAATTCATGTATTATCTTTAAATTCTTAAATAGCGAAAGAAATTTTAGTTTGTTTGCAAGAACACTACGACTTAATACAAATGTAAACAGTAGAGCTTAGCCACTACCAAATTGACAGAGATCAAAATTGAAAATGGTTAAAATTTCTATTTTTCTATGGTGAGAAAAAGAATTTTGGAATATGAAATCTACTCTTCCTATGGATATATACACATATAAGAGAGAGGAATGGTTTTTTAATTAAACTACAATCATACCCTTTTAATTTTTCAATAAATGATTGGGTTGTCTGTTGAATTGACACAACATCTTCAAAATTTTCAATTAATTAAAAATTAAAATAGAATTACTCAAATCAAGATTTTAACATTACTTAATTGGAATTGGCAATTTTCGGAATTGTCACACATTTTTTTGTTTACAAACAAGAGAGGTGAAAATACGGAAAAAAAAAATTGGAATGATACTCTAAATATAATCACAATCTATTTCGAGGATGTCACAAAGTTTTGTTTTTGAGAAAAATCAACTAAATAATAAAAGATTGGAAGAATCAAAATCGGTTTGACCAATGCTTGTTTTGAAGATATAGGACTCCAAATTTCCTTTGTTTATGTGCTTTCGGGAAAGTATCGTATTCTATTCCATTATAAAAATGGTAATCACCTAGACTTAGATATTCTTTCAAATCCCAATAATTTCGGTAATTCACCCAAAGTTATGTTATTTGTTCTTTCTTTCACTAGAAAGAAAGAGATAAATTGATGTATTAGCCATTCCAACGACTTAGAGAATCTCTCTTTGATGAATTGATGTATTAGTCAATCCAACAACTTAGAGAATCTCTTTCAAAGCAACCCTATTGGATGTCTTAAATA